GATTCAAAAGAACAGTTTAGAAGAAGAAGTTGTTGATGAGCCTCACATGACCAAGGAAGAGTTTGAGGCAAGCTTTCCTTATGTGAATTTAGCTATAAACCTTATGTACCCATGTAACGATGCCACCGAGTATGGGAAATACATGGTAAGAGATTGCATGGTGTTTATTTCTCCTAACGAACTTAGTGAAATAGAAGATGAATGGAGGGATTATTATCGACAGGATATTAAGCGTGAGGTTAAAGAGGTGCTATTGATTAATAGGCAGTCACAACTAATTGATAAGGCTACAAAGGCTTGGAACGACTCACTCAAACACTAGTTAATTAATTAATTAGCATGCATCCATATATATATATATATGGTTTTTTAGTTGCTGCATGCATTTATATACGTCTCATTCTTAATTATTTAACTTTACTTTGATGTGTTTTAATTAGTGCTTAATTAATTAATTTTCATCAACATTAATTAAATTAATTATGAAGATGCATACATCGATCTTCTAAATTAGTGTTGTGGCGATAAAGACGTACGATTATTGGAGTATTTGAACAATTGTAATAATTCTACTTGGGTTTGTGTTGATCCTCTCTCAGTGATTTGATAATAATCCCTTTTCACTTATACGTTGTATTTATGTTTCTGTCTTTTCAGTTCCAGCGATCATCACAAAGCCTGTTCAATGATCGCTGAAGAACTTGTATTGTAATTCAATCAGAGACAACGATACTTCAAGAATACAACACTCACACCAAAGAACCTTCAGCTAATGTCGAAGACTGAAACTGAAGATTAGGGACTGGCGAGTACGTGATCTGAAGCGGTACTCATGTGATTACAAGCCTGCCTACATATGTGTGAAGATTGCTCAAGCCTCAACGAATGCTGAAGAGACCTCCAGGTTATTCCAGCATTCAGCAATCAAAGGAAGCTAGCTTAGCACGATTGTTGTATTGTCCTTATACWCACAAAGGACAAACCCATACCCTTCTAAACGTTGGTACGGTACGGAGTGGACTAGTTGACTCTATTGCCCACCAACTTTAGGTAAGCACCCCATTGCATCCCGTCACTTCTGAGCTTCAGGTTAGCATCCCATTGCAGATCCTATATTTAGAAATTATATTTCTCTAGGATCTAGTCTTAAGTGATTAGAACCTTTCTAGTATTAGCTCTCAAATTTTATTGGGAAGGTCGCGCTTTGGTAGGAGATCAGATAAAGTTATCTTATGCAATGCCAAATATTTTTGAAAATACTCTAGATAAAAATAAAGTTGATGTTATGAGTTTTCCTTAAATTAAATTGCAAAAGTTCCATTTGAATGTCCACTTGTTTTATCAAAAGATGGAGTTTTGGGTTTTATAAAGCCATTTTATTTTTGGGTAAAGGTTTTAGTGGGCTTATTTTTTTGGGAAAATAAAGGTTTTATTCGGTTTGGGCCTTGTTGGCCAGCCCATTCACTTTATTTAAATCCTCATATAAATACCCCTCATCCATGAAGAACTCCCATTTGCATGAATCGCCTGCTTGAAATTTCTCTAAACATTCTCTCTCTAAAAACCAAACGCTCTCTAGTTGATTTCACTTTCGTGCAAGTCTTTTGAAATTCTTTATCAATCCTGAAGATCCTCCAAGACTTCAAGAAAAAGGTATGATACTAATTATCTTACTTTTGTAAAACATCTTGAGTTTGCATCCTCCTTCTTCTTTTTCAATCTTGTGTTTAATTTTCTGGAATTATAAAGAGGGGAGATTATTCACCCAAGACATGAAAACGTCTTCCATGAAGATAATAATCTATGATCCATGTGTTTAAAACTCCAAAGTAGGGAGGGAAAAACTCATTGCATGTGAAGTTTTAAACCGCGAAGCTGTGTTTTAAAGTGAAAAATCTTGCATGCATCTTTAATCTACCTTACCTTCTTCGAAAACTCGCTGGAGTCGGGAAAGATTCATCCCTGGAAATATAAATTTATTTTTGCTATTTTGGAAATGGTGATTTCCTTTGGAAAATGATAAGTTCGACCCCAAATAATTGCCGCTCGGTGAACGTGCAATCTGTTTTGGGGGTTGTGTAACTCAAGGATTGTAGTGTAATGATGAGGAATTAAAACCTCTCTAAACCTTCTTGATATTTGGGTTAGTCGGCTGACCTCATGATTTTAAATGATGTGACAAGTTGGATAAAAATGACTTTTGGAATGTTTCTTTTTTTAGAGTCTTGTGAACCCCAAAAATACTTGGAACAGAATTTATAATCTGTCCAAAAATCATCTTTTGAGTTTAGGATTTCGATTCCTTTTAATATATAATTTTTGAGTTATTTTTAGAATAAATTATAAACATCAACTTTAATTTTTGGAAACTCGATGATTGCATGGGATGCAACTTAACTTTATCATTGTCATGAACCCATAAGTGATTTTAGTTCTGGTTGTTGGTCTGTTTAGGAAGATAGGGCGGGCGTTGAAAGCTGCAGACGTCATCATCTTGGATATTCACCTTTAAGTAGTGAGTTCTCACGGCCCCACTTTTAATGCTTTAACTATTTGTTTGGGGGAAAGGCATGAGAATAAACAAACTATGCATGGTTTTTATTGAAATCTTTGGGCTAAGGAACTGCTTAGTCGGGTTTACTATGTTATGATTTTGTTAACTGTTTTTGCACTATGGAATAAATGCTAAACTGATGTGCTTGGGAGTATGTTTCCAAATAAAGTCCCCGTCCGTAAACGTTATTTGTTAACTCAGGCATGTCCCCGAGCCATGGTATTGTGGATAGCCTCTATTGCGTTGACAGTCCCACCCAGAAAGGGGTGCACTCTACCTATGTTTTCTTGGTCTAATCATGTGGAATTTGGACCACCGCTGAATTAGTACTATAACGAACTGTGGGACCTAAGTACTGTATGAGCTACTTAAGGTCGTTCATAAATTAATGGGGCAAGTTGGTCAGGTAAGGTTCAGTAGCGTCTCAAGTTTTTACATCGTGAAAGATTTACATTTATCAAGTGCAAAAGTTTCRCATAAGTTTGCAAATATTTGGTTTATGCATTAAAATGTTTTATGCATGTGAAAACCTGTGAGCTCACCAACTCTTTGTAGTTGATTCGTTTTATGTTCCATGCTTTTCAGAAAGCAAGTAAGATACGTTGTACTATGGGAGCATACTCGTGGCAAAGCTGATTTAGTTCGAGTCGGAAGTTTTGTAAATAAAAGGTTTATAAAATTTTTGGTTATGTTATTAAACTAGTTTTATTTTGTAAAACTTAAAGGTGTTATTTATTAATTGTTGATGTGACACGCTTGCCTGTTGCATCTCGCGTTTCCGCTTTAGCGGGGTGTGACATTTGATATCCAAAAGAGGAGTTGAGGTAGACAAAGCTAAACTTGAAATCATTGAAAAACTACCTGAACCAACTACTATCAAGGGAATACGAAGTTTTCTTGGTCATGCTGGGTTTTACCGAAGGTTTATAAAAGACTTTTCAAAAATCTCAAAACCTTTGTGTTTACTTTTGCAACATGATCAAAAGTTTGATTTTACGGATGAATGTAGAAATGCATTCAACACTTTAAAGAAAGCTTTAGTAACCGCACCAGTAGTTGTTGCTTCTGACTGGAACAAACCCTTTGAGATCATGTGTGATGCTAGTGATTGGGCTGTTGGAGCTGTCTTGGGTCAAAGAAAGGAAAAAGTTTTTCATTCAATCTATTATGCAAGTAAAACCTTGAATAAAGCACAACTTAACTACACAACAACTGAAAAAGAACTTTTAGCCGTGGTGTTTGCTTTTGAGAGATATAGATCATATTTAATGGGAACAAAGGTTATTATTCACACTGACCATGCTGCCATCAAATACTTGATTTCCAAAAAAGATGCTAAACCTAGGTTAATAAGATGGGTTTTGTTGCTGCAAGAGCTTGACCTTGAGATAGTGGATCGGAAAGGAGTAGACAACCAAGTTGCAGACCATTTGTCAACATTAGAGAAGCCTAGAGAGACCCTAGAAGAAGGAGAGATTGTTGAAACATTCCCCGATGAGAGAATTCTTGTGTTAGAATCAAAGCCACCATGGTTTGCCGACGTAGCAAACTTTTTGGCTTATGGAATTAGACCTTCTGATATTTCTGGCCATATGTTCAAAAAGTTTCTCCATGATACTAAAACTTACCTTTGGGATGACCCTTACTTGTTTAAGATAAGTGCAGATCAAATCTTGAGAAGGTGCATCCCTGAAACTGAAGTGGCAGCAATCCTGCAGCATTGCCATCAAGCAGCATATGGAGGACACTTTGGAGGCCAAAGAACAGCTGCTAAAGTGTTACAATCTGGATTTTATTGGCCTACACTTTCAAAGATGCCCACAATTTTGCACAAAGATGCAATGAGTGTCAAAGAAATGGATCCATTTCCAAAAGGAATGAAATGCCACTTAATGGGATCTTAGAAGTAGAGTTGTTTGATGTATGGGGGATAGAATTCATGGAACCATTTCCCCCATCAAATCATTGTCAATACATTCTAGTAACTGTTGATTATGTTTCTAAATGGGTAGAGGCCATGGCTTGTGTTATTAATGATGCAAAAACTGTGGTTAAATTTCTTCAAAAACAGATTTTTACAAGGTTTGGTACCCCAAGGGCACTAATTAGTTATGAGGGTACCCACTTTGTAAACAACCTGTTGAGTGGAGTTCTTGAAAAGTACAACATTAACCATAGAATAGCAAATGCCTATCACCCGCAAACCAATGGATTAGCTGAACTCTCAAACCGTGAAATAAAAGGAATTTTAGAAAAGGTTGTCAAGCCAAACCGAAAGGATTGGGCTTTTAAATTAGATGACGCTTTATGGGCCTACCGAACTGCTTTTAAGACACCTATCGGTATGTCCCCATATAAGCTTGTTTTTGGTAAAGCTTGTCACCTTCCGTTGGAACTATAACACAAAGCATATTGGGCCATCAAAGAATTAAACATGTGCCCGGATATGGCTGCCAGTAAAAGAAAAGTCCAGTTGAGTGAACTAGAAGAACATAGGAATCTATCCTATGAAAATGCCAAGATTTATAAAGATAAAACCAAAAAATGTCATGATAAAAGAATACAACACCGGGAGTTGAGAGCTGGTCAGAAAGCTCTTTTGTTTAACTCTAGGTTGAAACTGTTCCCGGGAAAGTTCAAGTCCCGTTGGTCTGGACCTTTCCTCATTCATAAAGTTTATCCGTACGGAGCAGTTGACCTAATCAATCCCGAGAAAAATTTTTGTGTTCAAGGTCAACGGTCAAAGAGTGAAGTTGTTTCATGATCCGGTAGAAATTCCAGAGTTATGCTCTGTGAATTCTGTTACCCTTTGCTAAAAGCTTCGATATTTATGGACTTTTTATAAGTCCAAAATTTGTGTTTGTAAATATTTATATTTGTTTCTGTTTTTATAGTTATTAATATTATTATTAATAATATTGTCGTTAATTTTTGTGTGTTTTGCAGTCCTGTCAGTCATCACAAAGAATCTGAAACCTTGCTGCAACATCTGAAAACCCTAGCCTTCCATGGAGAATCTTTTGAACTTTCAAAGTTTGAATTTTTTTTTGAATGGAAAATGCATGATGTCATTCTTAAAAATTATTTTTTAAAGAAATGGTATATCTTTTTAATGCTAGCCAATGTTAGTACAACTTGTAAGAGAGAAAGTACTTAGATGGCATTGAGAGGACATGGCCACCAACTTTTCAAACACATCATGGGTCAAAAATTAATTAAAATATGACTTGCATTTTGAAAGCTCCTGGTTGAGATTAGAAAGAAAGCTTCCTATCCAAGTACTCAAGTACTCCCATCCCTCTTGCATGCTCCCAATGCTTACATCATCAAACCTCATCTTCCTTCCCATTCTACCCTTACCTTTTGAAAAACCCATTTGTATTCTTTAGAAAACCCTCTTTTCTTCTCTTCTCTTTTCCCTCTCATTTCTCTAACTGTCTCCCGACCGACCGATAAGCGCCCCCCACCTTCTCCAACGTTCGAAAATGGCAAGAATGAAGAGAGCCACCGTTCGTGACCCTTCTCCGTCGCATGCAGCCCAACAGACGCCGCCGCCTAACCCGCCACCGCCGGTGGCCGCTACTACTGCCGTGCGTGCTCCTGTCTCTTCGCGAAGGCAACCGGCAAGGAGAGGGAAAAAACTCCCTGTTGCGAAGAAGAAAAAAGGTGAACCATCTACATTACTTATTGATGAAGACTCGCCACCGTCGCCGTCGCTGCCGCCGTTTTCCACTCCAATCACTGTCGACCCCATTCTGCCAGAAGTACCTATCGCTGTCCTGCCTTTTCAAATGGTACCATCCGCGGCCATCATCCCCTTCACAGATCCTTTGAAGAAAATCAAAGAAATGGTGAAGTCATCTACAGTGCCGATTCCAAAGAAGGCCCCAACTTCATCTAAGACCACCACCAACAAGGAATCACTCGAAACTTCGCAGAAAGGTACAATCTTCATCTGATAGTACACCCCCTGAGGGCCTCTTCACTTCTGATTCTGAGGAAGAGGAGGACCTTGCCTCAATGGCACAAACAGGGAAGATTTTCATGGAAAGTGAGGCATGCAGTCTCGAAAATATTACTGTGATTGACAAACCGAGAAAACCTCTGCTTTTAACTGCCTCTGGGCAAGATACTGATGATGAGGATGATATTCCTCATTTTGCTCCTCATGATCCCATCCCCAACCTTAATGAAGAATTTTTTGGGGAAGAGGATCAAGAGCCCCCTGTTGAGGTTGTGTCTAGGAAAAGAAGGTTGATCAAGGCCTGTGATAAAAAGAAGTCCAAGGCAGTAGTTGATGAGGAACCACCTAGGAAGAAGACCCGGTCTCAAAGGGTTATGATTGAGTCACCTAGGAATTCTGAGACTGATGCTACAGCATCGCAGCAGCATTCCTCCAGACCCAAGAGGAAGAGGGTGGCTATGGCCCAAAGGCCAGCCACCATTCCAAGGCCAATCAGACTCCACAATGGTTTTAGTTCTAAGGTTGCTGAGAAGATGCATGCTAGGTTCCAGAACCGGGTTGGATTCCCAGACAAGGGATTTGATAAGCAAAGCATTAGGGAATTTGCATTCATAAGGGAAGTAGTAGAGGCTCATGGTATTGAAAAGATGTGCATGGTTCCAACCTCTTACAACCTGACTCTTATTAGAGAGTTCTATGCTGAGTTGGCAGCAAATAGCACGTCCAAGATATCTATTAGGGGGATGACCTTCATGTTCAATTCAAAAGCCATCAATCGGCTTTATGGCCTAGACCTCCCTAAGAAGACTGAGTACTCTAGAATGGTGAGGCATGCGACTATAGAGGACTTGGCTGAGGTGGCAGATGAAATAGGAAAACCAAGGGCAGTTTGGGATGATCACTCGAATTACATGTTGAGGACTTTTAAGGCCTACAATCTTACGACCAATGCCAATGTATGGATTAATTTCTTGAGGCACTCCATTGCTCCCACCACACATGACAACTCAGTCTCGGTGGAGAGAATGTTGTTGCTTTATTGTCTAGTTACAGGTAAGTCCATCAACTTTGGGAGAGTGATAGAGAGAAGTATTAGGACATGTGCAGGCAGAAGTAGAGGGAAGATGTATTTCCCTAGTTTGATCACACGGTTGTTGGTAGAGAATGGTATTCCTCAGTATTGTGAGGATCAAATGGTGAAAGAGCAAGGGGAGAAGTGGAAAATTGATATGAAGATAGTTTCAAGACTGAGGGAGAAGAAGGATAAGCTGAATGAGGCTGGTGATATGCTGTGTTTGATGCAAGACCTGCTTGCTCAAAACAGCAGTTTGATGGATAGTTTGTTGGAACAACGAAATGAGTTCTTTGACAAAATAGATAGGCTGAATGGAGAGTTAGTGGAGCAAGTGAGGGCTGCTGAAAAGAAGACTAGGGGAGACATTAGGTTGGTAAGGGCTGAGTTGGAAGCAAAGACAAGTGCTCAAGTGAAGAAGTTGGGAAAGAAGCTGAAGACTTTGAAGGCTGAAAATGCAAGGCTATTTGGAGAGAATTCTAGGCTGAAGGAAGAATGCAAGAAGCCGAAAGACAGCATCTTCACTTCACCTACTCCTATGGAGTAGGACAGGTTCTATCATTCCCTCTTTAGCTTTTGTTATTATTTTATTTCAACTTGTTTTGATTTACTTGAGTCTGGGATTGTCTTTTATACTTTTTAGTTTATTTTCTTGCAAAAAAAAAAAAACATATGCTTATAATTGCCATATGCTTGTATAGCTAAAATAATTCTTGTAGTTTAGTTACACTTTCTAATCACTTGGTATCACTAGAACTAGCTTGTTTTGCTTGGGAACACATTTTGATCCACATCATATGTTCAACTAAGAAAGGATATAGGCCCTTTGTTCATTTCTCAAAATTCTAGCCACTTGTAGCCATTGCATAAACAGCCCCCTATATACTTCCAATGAGGACATTGAAAAATCTAAGTTTGGGGGAGGGTACCAACATAGTTATCAAAGCAATGCAAAAGAGCACAAAGTGCCAAAAGTAGAGATCAAAGTGCATAAAGCTTCAAAGTCATATTTGAAATCTAAAACACCACAAATGTCCCATAGGGGCAGGTGTAAATGCATTCAACAAAAGAGCACAAAAGTACCAAAATTTGAAAAATTCAATGTTGATGCATAAAGGAGAGAAAAGGCAAAGAGAGAAAAAATGTGCCAAATGAGAGTAAACCATTTACTTCCAAGTCCTATTGATCTTAGACATATGATATGTTGAGCATAACAAAGAGCTAATAGAGCTAGCTTATGGTTAGTTAGGATATGCTTACTTGAGATTTATGAAAGCTATATGGTGCATTTTGGCATAATCAACATATGAGTATGCACTTACTGCATTTTCTTGCAATATTTTCAAAATTGAGTCATTTTTAGTTGTCTTTTGGTTGCTTGGGGACAAGCAACGGTTTAAGTTTGGGGATGTGATACGTACTAAGTATTTAGTACGTAAATTACCTTTTTATTCTCTTTTAGATAGGTTATTTTGCTTTCATATCCCAACTTTGAGTCAATCTATCTCTTTTCTCTGTTTTTATGCTAAGAAGAATGTTGAACCCGTTTTAGAGGATTTTGGTCTAAATTGATATTATTTTGGACAGATTGGAGCAGGGTGATGCTGTGGGAATGTGGTAGCATGACCTGATGGCTGATAGAGAGATGGACGAGACTTAGAGGTGATTGACATGACTTTGGAAGACATATGAAAGCCTTCTAAAGTTGAACCAGCTGTATTTTGATCAGATTAGCTGGAGCTTAACAAGACTACTTGTAGTTACTTTCTAAATATTAGTTTGCTTTTATGTACTATTTAGTTTCTTTTGAACTAGTTGGATGTGAAATGACCTTTTTGCCCTTACTCCAACCTTAGTATAAAAAGGGTTGTTGGGAGGAGTTTCAAACACACCTCAACACCTCAACCCCATCTTCTATTCTCCACTTTTCTCTCAAGTAGTTCTCCCAACTACTTGGAGAATAAGTTCCTTTCTCAATATAAAAAAAATCTTTTGGCATTTCGAGTTCCCTTTTAATTGCTTTATTTAATCACTTTATTTATATTATCGTTACTTATATTCCGTCTTTAATTTATTTACGCTTACTTGCATTTTATTTCCGTCATTTATTTATTTACGCTTTCTGCATCTTTATTATTCCGTCATTTATATTCAGTATTTGCTTTCCGCATTTATATTATGTCCTTATTTACCGCACTTTACGTTTCTTGTCATTTACTTTTCGTCATGAGTAGCTAATTTTATTAGCTCGGGTGTATGACGAAAAGGGGTGAGTTTTTAAACCAAAATATAGTCGACCCTTTCATGTAACAACGATGTTTTACTTTTTCATATCAAGTTTTATAAAACCCATGACACTTCTTGACGAGTTGATCACTTTGAAAGTGTTAAAGTGCCTTGGACTCTAAGCTGAGCCATTGTTTGCACGTCAACTTGGATGATATGAGAAGTAGACTTGAGAGAGTTGCTAACAAAGAGATTTGTTGTCCGTATTTTCTAAGTTGTTAATTCTCGACGGGTTGATCACTCTGAAGTGTTAAAGTGGAATGGATTCAGAGATGAACCATTCAGAACACGTCAACTTGAATGATATGGGAATCCATTCGAGAGGGTGATTTTTTTTAAACAAAAAGATTTGTTTATCCATATACTTTTAAGACACCATTTGTCACTTTCACTGGTCTGGATACCTCATAGAGATATGGGTTGAAGACTATAATATCAGTGC